GACATGTTTAGTCATATCTCTCTGATTAAAGCTTTACATTCCTTTTTTAAGGACAGAGCTTTAATGTTTTGCCTGGAGTATCAGTGCGCTGTTGCCGCTTCTGTTCCATATCTACTATATGGTACTTCCAAAGTCGCTCAAAATGAGTCAGTGTTGCAGCTTATGCCGATGTGAAGTTTTAGGATTCTACGATGAGACAGGCGCTGATATCTTTGAAACGCTAATAACAGTGCATTATATTTTAAGGTGGGCTTAAGGGGATTGAAAGTCAGTAAATCTACAAGTAAGAAGAAAAATGGAAAACGTGCTGTTGAGTTTGACTATGGAATTTCCGAAGCTCAGCGTCACATTAGTGACTTGTGATTGTTGAATCTTCCTTGAAATTTTCGTTCAAAACTGATGATGTAGCAAGACTTCAACCATCATGTACTCCGTATCAATGAATGAACATATGTTGGATAAAACCGTGTAGTAAGACTATATAAAGCTTATATTCTTCCAAGTTTAAAATACTATAACCCAGAATGAACACCTAGTTGAGAAAAGACACTAACAGACTAGGAAAAATCCAGCGAACTTCCCGAAAATTTTGTTTTACCGCATATTCCCAAAAAAGGAGTACCCTGACGCCTTTTCCGATTTCAAAATGAGATTAACTAATGTTTGTCTTCTTAATTTGTTTCATAGACGTACACTAGTTGCTTGTCTATAAGAGTTTTCACCAGGAATGCGTTTGAATTTTCTGACTTTGCTTCCGTCCCTCAAAAAATCGCAGAACAACGTTAAATGTCTCTACTGCTAGTTTGAAATAATGGCGCAAGCACATTCTACAGAACTCTTTCGCTAGCCGTGTTTGACGCCTTATTAACTGCCATCTTGTTGAGGTCGGCCGACAGGATAACTTAGAAAGTTCGTGCTTAACAATAATCTACTTAGATTTTCACATCCGCAAAACGTTCAGTGAATGTTACTTATCCCTCGCGAACCATATTGTGGTGTCTGCTGCTTATCATGTTTCTTTCTCTTTAAGAGCTAGCTGGTTTTCCTTTGCGCTTGATTAGCCCATATTCTCTTTCTCATACTTCTAAGCCTTCTTCGACAGCGTTTCAGTCGCTACATCTGCCATTCCGAAGGCTTCGGGCATGTCATCTGGTGTTTGGACGCACCAGCGCACACTCGGCCGACTGATGTGCAACATCACTACTGCCTTGCCTCAGGCTACTATGCATCGGTTCCTACTATTTCGCGAAAGAAAACCACTCTGAATATTTAAATTTATACAGTAAACGGTGTTGTTGATTTTTGTTATATGTACTACTTCTACTCAGTGTTGGAATCTTATTTGTGTTTGGTGTT